TTAGCAAAATTGAATTCATCACCGGTCCACAATACAAATTCAATTTAGGTCAAGTATTTCACGACTTTGAGTGCAAACCCAGATTGATGAATTTGGATGTGTCCTCGCTGTGTGCATTGTTTTGTTTCTTTACTTCTTCAAAAGCTTGCTAATTTTCCCTTGACATGGTTTCTAACATTACCTTCTATAAGATATCCTTATTGCCCTGGTTTCTTCCATAGTCCCTTCCATAGTTCCCTCCATGGTCCACAAGGCCCACAGGTTAAGAGGCTAAAGTTTGAAATAAAATATACGGGGTTAAACTGTAAAGTTTCCCTTAAACCAACCTGGGCGGTTTCAGACTTCCAATCCACATTTTGGGTTGCCATGGGTCCATGTTGCCATTGAAACAGGGGAACACTATTTTCTCAACCTTAGGCCTTAGAGTTTCTTCTTCAAAGACTCAGACAAACACTATATGCAGACCATGAATCTTAATGAACCACAGTTAGATACAGGTAGTCAGGATGTTTCAATCTATGGTTTCCAGTTGGTGAATATGGGGGGAACTATTACATTTGCATATCAATAAATTCATGTCAAATATTTGATTGCTAATATCCCATAGCTATCCATTTGCTTTTGCTATCCATCCCAGTGAACGAACGCGGAGGCGTTCCTGGTTCTCGCAGGGCTTCTTCCCCATCGGGGATGAGCTCCTGGTGCGCCTGGGGGACTGGCCTCCAGAGGCTGGGAGATGGGATGGGGATGGTGCAGAAGGGGAATGGGATGAGTTTTTTTTTTCCAATGCCATGTTTTGGCAGTGTGGAGATTTGCCAGTTTTTCCACAGACTGTCCGGATTGATGAGTTTTTCTTGCTTCTTAGATTTGATTGAATGATGACAATAAGTTGTTTTTGGCTGGGAGGGACAGCATAATCCACCCAATTTTGAGGTTTTGGAGTACTTCGCATGGGATTCCAACCTCGGAGAAACTCACGAAAAAAGATTGACTTTGAATAGAGCGACACCGTCACAGACACAGACCTTGAGAACCCCAGAGGTTTTGTCAGTCGAGACTTGAGGTGACCTAGCTTGTCCTGAAATGATTCGAACCTTACCTTTATAGTATATAGTTCTCCTGATATCTTGAGATGTGACACAGATGAGCCATGCCATGGGCCATATCTGAATTTTCTGTGAGACAACCAACTCCAGCATTCAAAACCCTGAGCCATCCATCTGCCCCAGTCCCACGTGCCAGTCGGAGTGCCCAGATTTGTGGCGTCCATTTTTCAGGATATGGATATGGGATATGGGTACAAGTATGGTTCGAAAAGCTGGTTACACCGTGATACGCCCAAAATGGCAATTCACCAGGGAACCTCCCAGTCACTTACTTGGTTTCGGTGACGCCATGAGCTGTTCTTGGGCGCTGACTCCTGAGCCGTTCGGTTCACTATTGAAAAGCTACCCCCGAGCCCTGGGTTCGATGTAAAAATCTTCTCCATGGGAATCCTGCCATTCTTGACGACTAGTGCTTTCAACTTCAAGGGACCATTTCGGCAATTTGCCAAATTTCTCATATTTTCTCCAGTGGCGTGAATGGATCACACGTGTCTCACGTGTCTCATCCAGACATGCGTTGAGTTTTTTTTTTCCAAAGTCCAAAGCAACCTGTTTTGCCATGGCCACGAGGTTATGGTTGAGTCTCGCAGTGATCCGTCCCCAAATTTCGTTGACGGCAAGGTGAAGATCCTGTACCCCGAAGCTGATAGCATCTTCGTGGGTGGCCCTCAATCCCCCTTCAGCGTCCGACCCCTAAGCACCGGTGGCTGATGGAAGGCATTGCGACAGGCCGAAAGGACACATTCAATACACGATTTTGTATCGAACACCATTTGCATGGTTCAACATCATGTGTTGGTTGAAATCACCACTTTGATTGGTCTGCTGGTTGACATCACTTTACATTTACTATCATGCTTTTCGTTACACTCCGAAGTAGATGTAATACGTCATGATTTTCAATTGCCAGATTCCCAGGGTTTCCAGCATCATTTTGCAAATTTTGATTTGTGTCGGGCCGCCTTGAAACCCTGAATTACAAGACGCTAGTTTGTTTATCAAGATTTGATCATTCATCTTCACCATTTTCTTTAATTTTTCTCAAAGTTTCTCCATGAAAATTGCTATAAATGGCTAGATTGTCCCCCATTTTAGGGGCCAACCCATCTCATCTCATCTGATCGACGAGGCCGTGCGGCAGCCCAGGCGGCGCAGCCGCGAGCGGCGGCGCAGCCGCTCGCGGGAGGGGCGACGGGAGGCGCCCTGGTTTGCCATGCGGGTTGTGTGAACATAGGTTGATTCCATACCGATGCTATACCCCATATTCCAATGGATGATTATCAGTTTCCCTAAGAACATGGCAATTTTTTTTGGGTATCGGTATCCACCTCTTTTCAGAGGAACCCAGTTTTTAATGTGTTTTTTGGGATCACGAATGAGCACAAAACTTCTCAATACCTTATCCTCGCTTTAGACTCCAGCCTTGTGTTGTGGGATGTTCTTGCAACAGGAGCCTCCCTCGCGAGGACGCATGGAGGACTGCTAACGACGCCTTTTGATAGGGAGAAGAATGATCCAGAATTGGTGGGGATTTCCAACCGTCCGTCATATACGTTGTTCAGATATTCTGCAAACATGGGTCGAGCCAAACCTTCAGACGCAAGGACCCGTTGCTAGAATCGGATTCTTGGCGATACCATGCTAGGCCATACCAAATCTGACAATTTGTTTAAAGGACAACCAAACTTGCTGCAGGACTATCCGATGGACTACGACCGGCCGCCGCCGCCGGGCTATGGCCCCCCGCCCCCGGCCTATGGGCCGGGCTACGGGCCGCCGCCGGGCTATGGCGCCTACGGGCCGCCGCCATACGGGGCACCGGGCTACGGCCCACCGCCACCGGGGTATGGGCCACCGCCACCAGGGTATGGCCCGCCACCGCCAGGGTATGGCCCACCACCCTTCGGCTATGGCGCCCCGCCCGGCTATGGGCCGGGCTATGGACCACCAGGAGGACCACCGGGAGGACCACCAGGCTATGGACCACCTGGCCACGCGTAACTGGCACGTTTGCAAAAGAACTGGGTGCAAGTTGGTCACAAGATTTGAAATTCAGATCTGCTGGGTAATTCATCCTTGCCAGGGGCCGAGCGGCCCAGGGAGTGGCAGATATAGTGGGACACTGAAGTCCTTCAATGCTAAGTTGCTGGGCAGAGTCAGACTCTGGATAGTTTAGATTGTGGGCAAGTTGAGACATGCGGCCCATTCGGCCTCAAAGGGACAACATGGATTCGTCAAAAACCTAGTGCAGAACTGCATTATGATCCAAAGGCACACATAGATATACTATCCGCTTGCACAGCAACCATCCAAAATCACCGTTCTTGCAGGAACTCCCAAAACCTCGCTATCCAATGTTGCAGGGTGGAGGATGTCCAATATTTGAGGGCATTGTTTTGTTCATTTGTTCATTGTTCGTCGTGCTGCTTCGTTTACTCTTCAAAGACAGTTCTTGGTGTTGACAACAAACATTTGGAAGCCGCCAAGCGCATAGGGGTGGGGGTCAGGCAAGAGCTAAACACCCCGAATTCTTATTTTTGGTAGACATCCCAACATTATCTAGTCAATCTATTCTGTTCATTTCCAAGATGTTCAGGATACTGAGATTGCAGACTACCCAACCAGCAGCTCGTGGCCATTTCTAGCCTGCAAGTACGTACCATCCAACTCTTGGTGTACCCACTTTTGACCCAGACGACAAGATTCCCAATTTAAACGGCTGGCTTGTCTAATGATGCTGGTCGTATGAGTCATATGTGCATTTTTAGAGGTTGAACATGGTTGAAACAAGTCCAACCCGGCATTGTTCTTCACAGCCGTTTTTTTTTTGTTGTAACGGTTTCTACATGTTTCTACCGTCCTGGTTGCGCAACCAAGGGGTGGCTTCGGGTTCATCGACTGTCCAGAGGCTGTGGAGCTGTTGGGAGATCATTGCAAGTCATCTATCCGGTGGTAATAAATAACTATTGCAATAAAGAAAGTGTTGATTTTATTAATGTACAACAACAGATATAAGCTTGACCGAGTTGCGGTCCTTTTTTTTTTTCGGGAAATGTGGACCGACCCAAATAACTGGCCACTTTAATAGTCAAATGACAATTCAGCATGGGATTTTTATATACTTTTACGTGTTTCGCAACATTTCGAGACCCAAGTGGCTAGAAAAGCTGGCAATTTGTCATGGAAGCATAGACGAAAAGAACATAGGAGACTAGTGAGCCTGCCAGGTTTGAGTTTTCCAAGGGTGCAGCGCCAGTAAAGATGGGGAAAAGTAGCATCTAATGGGCGTAGCAATATTATCAATTTTATCAATGTATCACCATTCGCTTGGTGGTTTCAACAGTTTCACCTGCTTGGGATTATTGATTAAATTGATGGGACTTGTTGGGACACAAGTTGACTGATCAAGAGGAGACAGCTGGTAACAACAAAGGGCCAAGATCAAGGGGTCCTCTTATCTCGTGAACACCGACATCGTCATTGTTAGCCTATGGAAATCAATGACGCATCTTTATTTTGTGAACGAAAAAAAGATCAAACAACGGGCACACCTTGGCGTTTTCTTCTTTGGCCTACCAGCCTACACAGCGTTTCTGGGGAAGTCTCCTCTCTTCCAGCCAGGGTATGGAGTGGTGAATGACACTATGGGCATATCAGGTTCAAAGCCAAAGGGCAGAGCTGGAACGATTCACCGAGGCGATGAACGGTCAAACTTGACCTCGGTTCAAACCATGGATGGTCTACTAAGGACCAAACATCATAGAAAGTCATAAAAACAATCCACCAAAAAACAGTGAACATCTCATCATTATCCCAGGATCATCAGTAGATACTTGCATTATTTCGCTAAAAATGATGAACCTTCCGCCCTTCCCAACGTGTTCTTCCAAGTGAAAAGCGACCGATGCGGTGTCTCTTGTGCGGCCATAGCCTGGACGCCGCGGCGGAGAACGGGCGAGGTGCGTGGTGTGGGTGGTGCGAGAGCGAGGCAGCCACACTGAGCCAGGAAGAGGCAGGGGTTGTGATGGTTTGGTCTTCGAAAATTTGGTGGGATTATAATTATAATATAATATAGATATAATATATATGATATAATATAATAAAATATCTACCATGATCTACTCAGATTCGTCAAAAAATTGAGGGATTGAGATGGATGAACACTGATGAATCTTGACTAAAACTGTGGGATGGTTGAACAAAAAATGGTGAGATTCTGGGGTGCATGTGAGGCCATTGTGTATCAAATGGGGCACGCATTTATTATCAATCACCATTTAATTTTTCTAGATTTTTGAAAAAACACGGTGCACCGAATCATAACAACGATACTGGTGGTAAACATACAAAAAACTATGGAAAATCACCATTTTTAATGGGAAAACTCACTATAAATGGCCATTTTCCATAGCAAAAGTGACCTGCCCCACCTGTGGGGCCCACCTGAAACACAGGTGGCGGCGCTCCAGAAATTGGACCGGATCCCGGCCGCCTTTGAAGTCTGGTGCTACGGCCGCCGTGAGGACGCCGAGGCCAGGGGGGTGGTGACGAAGAACTCCACGCCGGTGCCGCAGCCGGCGCGGCTCCTGCCGCGGCTGCCGTTGTTTTTGGGCGATTTGGATGATGCAAAAGACGTGGACAACTTGAAGTGGCTTGAAGATTGAATGACTTTGAATGATTTTGAATGATTTTTGAAATGATTCTTGAAGTTTGTGAATCAAGTATGGTGAAATTTTTTCTTGGCGTTTTTGGTTGTGGCAATCCCGTAACTCTTTGGCAGCACCACACAGCCGAGGAAGTTGGGCATTGGTTGCGTCATCAACCTTTGTGCCGACAAAGTTGCGAGCAGTCGACGGTACCAAGACGTTCCAGGTAGACTGGCGAGGGCTCAGATCCACCACCACATTCTCGTCGCGGAGGATGCCCGGCATTTCAAGATCCTGCCTGCTGCTTGGTAAAACGATGAGTTTTGGTGAGTTTGGGGCGAAGATCAGTAGGGAAACGGTTTCTGAATTGGTTCGTCCAAAGACATGGCATACCTAGAATCCAAAGATTAATCATCGTATTCCCATGTATTCTCTATGAAATGGCCATTTCAAGGGGTATGGCCATGTATGGCCTATTTTCAGACAACGCCGACTTTTCTCCAACTATTCAATGGGTGGGCGAAACTCCATCATTCCCAGTTTGCCTTTGGGGGAACCACGTGAGATCGCAGAGTTGAAAATTGCAGCTGGAAATTCTACCAGCCAATACACGGATAGTATGTGTGTATATATGTGCGTATATATATATATAAATCGTATATGTATATATATATATACGTAGCTCTGATGTTGCATGTATACCTGCATATTGGCAAATCTGCAATATATATACATATATGATATGTATACAAAAAATGACAATGTATGCATGTATACATCTAATCTACCATGACTCCATGAGTAGATTGGCAGAGAAATTCTTTCACCTTTGGGAAAATTTTTCCGCGCAGGTAGGACTATTGGCTTTGTCCGAAAATAGGGTATCCCCAATGCCACGAGTTTCCCATATTTTTTTTGGACCATATGATGGGGCCCATCTCCCATTTGGACACCCAAAAATCCACTCGTGATGGTTGAATTCGCCATGTCGCTTGCGTCAAATCCCTCATAAAAAAAGTACATGTGTAGGTATATAATGGTATACATTTACCACTATCTATGTATGTGTGTATATACATAAAATACATAATATATATATATACACAATACACATACATACACATGAATTTGTCTCCATATGGGTCCCATCAGGTTGTACAGGTGGCATTTGGCATCATCAACGCTGCCTTGGCGCAAGAGACGAACAATGGCGTCTTGGTGCACTGCTGGGGTGGGGTCAACCGCAGTGCCGCCTGTGTCGTGGCCTTTTTGACAACGCAGTGTCTTGGCGATGCTGGGAACGTAGGCACTGGTTGGGGTTGAAGAACTACCTGGGTTTGTCGGAAAGTGCGGGGAACACAAAGAAAAATCCATGGCCATTTTTTTGAATGGGAACGATGTTGACAAGTTGACCAGAGGGTTTTGGAGTATCCTATTTTCCGAACCGCCTGGTTTATTGGGCATTGTGATAGCTCGTGAACATACCTATTTACCAACCAGTGGAGATTTAGCCAATCCAGATGGGTATTTAACCGCAGTGAAATCTGGATGCAATTTATGATACACTAAGTATTTCCCTGATCCCCTGTTTCAACATGCTTTGAACATGTCTGCATACGTATATGTATATGTACGTATTGAATTGTAATTAATCATATAAGAATATAGTATATATATATAATATGTATGTATAATTATACATACATTCATGTATAGGTTGTTTTCGGTCCCCACAAATGACTTTGGGAAGGTTGGCTCAACCACCTAAAAAGCACCTGTGGTGACGACACAGAGAAGTTCATAGATTCTCATTGTGTGATTGATGCGAGCAGCACCAGGCAGCACAATTCATGGAAGTACCTCAAGACCCCCAAAAAGTAGCTATGATTGATTCAAGAGGCTGGAGAATCTAACCAATTGGTAATCTGATTTTGTTCTCGATCAACAGGATCAAAAGGTCACCCTAGAGATGATATTGCGGAGTGACGCAAAGGTAGCAACCAGAAAAGGTTCTAATTGGGCTCAAATCAGGTCGCTGCCCAGGCGCAGCCTTTTTGCTAGATTCGAACTGTGCACAGCTGCGATGTGCAAGGAAAGTGAGACATGCCAAGTGCCAAAAACATGCACCAAACTGCCACACTCACATCCCAAAAGGGGAGTGTTGGCATGTCGAATTAGCTGGCGCAGCCAGTTCTGTGCGATGTACTAGCGCTGCCAGGGCTCGTTTTGGCGCTGCCAAATCTTTTCTTACGGCGCTGCCGTTGTTCCTTTCTTAGGCGCTGCCTGTGCTCCTCAAGCTTTCGTTCTGCTTCGGTCTCCTTCAGCGACACGGTGTTCTCCTGACAAAACTGCTCCCACAAGGTGCCACGCATCTTCTTGGTGAGCATGTCAGCGAACTGCCTGTGGGTTGGTACCCAAAAGACTTCGAATGCCTTCTGCTCGAGCATGTCCTTTGCCACGAGCAGGTCCAACATAGTTTGTCTTTCTGAAGGTATCTGACCTGTTGTATGTAGGTGGTCATACAGCGACCTCGCGTCGGTCACCAGGCCTCCTCCATGCTTGAGCTTCGCTCTCCAACCCTCTTTGACTTCAGTGTTGCCTGTCCACAAGATATCCAAAAGAATCCTGATGTACAAGTGGCGGTCAACCGTCAAAGACATGCTGTTGCTCTCTGCGGCCATTGAACTTCTCACCACCCTCGTCGACCTGGAAGTCTGATATTCAATGGGTATGGCCAGCTGTGGACCATTCTTCACACCATCGGTGGTCAAGAAATGAATTCCACCCAGTTGCGACCTTCCATCTTCTTCCTTTCCAAGCGACGCATCAAAGAAGCTCAGCACATAGGGCTTTCCTTTCATAGGCGGGTAGTAGAGGTGACTTCTCTCCGCCTCAACCTCCTCCAGAAAACTCCCATGCAGTTTCACTGCTTCTTTGAAATCATCATAGGTGGCCTTGTTCACCCTCTGCGCAAGGGCACTCACCTCATAGAGCTTCTGCGGCATGGCTTGCTGAGCCGGCCAGCGCAACCTCATAGTGAGCTGCCGGTACCGCGTCACATCCTCCGGCACCAAGGGATCAGCACCTCCCTTCTGTTGAGGTTCTGGCACTTTAATACCCTTGACATAGGCACTCATGTCATCATACAAGCCAGGTCGCTTGCCGGTGCGCATATCCACACCTAAGAAGGTAAGTGGCACCTGCTTCCACTCTTTGATTCGAAAGAGTCTATTGAGTTCCTCCTTGAGCTTGAAGTAGCGAGGATCCTTGGGGTGACCTAGTAGCAGGCCGTCATCCACATGCAAGCAAAGGATCGCGTAGCTCTCTCCATTTTCTGATGCCACGAAAGTGGCTCGAGCTGCTGGGATCTCCCTCAGTGCTGTCTTGAATCAACTCCACAGCACGAAGATACCAAAGGCGTGGTGCCTCGGTCAATCCATATGCCGACTTCAGCACCCTCAGCAACTCATAGGGTAGAACGGCATCCCAGCCATCGGTGGGTGGTAGGCCATCCACTGGGGCCTTCACATAGAGCTCCCGCTGCGTCTCCAAACCACTCAAAAACGCAGTGGTCACATCAAAAGACCACACGGTCCAGTTCCGAAATTGGCCCACTGCTTTGGCCAATCGGACGGAGGTCAAGGACGTAGTCGGACTATCCGTCCTGAAGAATCCCAAGTTGGGATCTGTGTGTCCAGGAATCACCAATCGGCTCTTGGCCAATATCGGCAGCAGCATCTTTTGCTGCTTGTTGGTGCGAACCATCCTCATTGGCGATCGGAACACGTTGTACTTCTGTACCCTGCCCTTTTCCTCAGGTGTAAGCCTCCTCACCACACCATTCTGAATCCACTGGGACCACTCCTTGCGATCTGCTTCTCGAAAGAGCTTCTTCTCCTCCTCATTGAAGAAGCGTGGGTCCAGTTCCTTTCCACTCTGTTTCATCTTGAGCAGCATCACCTGACTCAGCAAAACATCCTTCAGTTCAGCCTGCCATTCTCGTTCGAAGGCTCTCCTCTGTCTTCGGCTCCATTTGACCTCATAGATCTCTCCATCCTTCTCCACGTAGGATTTCACCCGCTCATCTCGATTCGCAGGCTTTTCCTTGTAGTACATGGAGATGCCACGCCATGGAAAACTCGCCTTGCGGCGTGGATTCTGTTCCACCTCCTTGGTGTTCTCTTCCACCACAAAGGCATCTCGTGGGTCCTGACCGATGAGAATGCTCAGCCTTGCCCTGCTTGCCAACTTTGGTGGCCGTGCCAGCTTCTTTCTCGGCTGTCGATGCAGTCGTGCAGAAGTCAGGGGCAGGCCTGTCAGCTCCCTCAAAAGGCCCAACTCATATTGAGTCACCCACTCATTGGCTCTGCCATCCTCTGTGTGCAAAGTCCCAAGCATCACCTGAACCACAAGCGACTCCGTCACTCTTGCTCTTTTTCCAGGTGGTGCTGCTGGCTCTTGATCTTCTTGATGAAGTCTCCTTTTCAGTGGTGCGGGCACATCATCCAGCAGCATTCGCCTGTGTGCCTCTGACTGCTGTCGTGCCAGCTCTGCCTGGAACTCCTCCTCAGTAGGTCCCGCGGCCGCTGCCGGCGCCTGTCCTCGCTGCTCCTCATCCTCCTCAGAGTCCTCAATCTCAGGGACTGGTACCTCTTCTGCTCTCGGCTCTGCCGGAACATCCTCGATTGCTTGGTGTTCCTCGTGCTCGGACGCAGCCGGCTCATCTTGTTCTTCCTCATGCTCGGACGCGGCCGGCTCTCTATCCTCAAGCGCAAGTTGCCTTCGTTGCCTTCTGCGCTTTGGCACATCTCTGGAATCTTCTAGCGCTGGCGCAGCCAGAGTTCTTTCCTCTTCATCCTCTCCCGGCGCAGCCGGTGCTGATGCACTAGCCGCTGCTGCTGGAGGTGCTGATTGATGGCGCTGCCTTCTTCCAAGCCTCACTTGGCGCGTCCTCCGCTGCTGTAGTTGTGCGGCCCTCTGTACTCTGTCTTGCATCAAGTTCCTCACAGCTCTGGTACCCTGCATCATCAGCCTGGCACGCTTTGATTCCTCAGGCTCTGGTGGTGCAGGCTTCCTCTTTCGGGTTGGCCTTCTTGGAGGTGGTGCTCGAGGTCGGAGATCTCGAAAGAGATTGGGGATATTGCCGTCTCTCAAGGCATCACCCACATTGTCCATATCTTCTTTGACGGCCTCCGTTAGAGCAAGCTCCTCTTTCGTTGAGAGGCGCATGTTCTCCTCGGCGACCAGAAGTAACCTTCCTCGCCATGAGATGAAGTAGCGTTTGCTCTTCTCCCTCGTGAGCACTGTTGCAGGTCCCCGCCATGTGCCTCCCTTCCGATACCTCACGGCCTTCTGTGAGCTCGGGACCCAGAAGTAAATCTGAGCTCCAGGGACGAATGGCCCAGACTGGGATACTGCTGGTTTTCTCAGCACTGATCTCCTCATCTTTTCTCTCACGTCGTTCCTGATCAATGCTACTCTGGCAGTGGTCCTCATACGATGAGCTCTGGATACCTCGCTCTCCACGCTCAAACCTTCCGCGAAGGAGAGCTTGACTTCCTCATCATTGAGGGTCGGCCATTTGCACTCATATCCCAAGACTCGTTGATTGGGCGTAAAGCCATCTTTCGTGAGGGTAGCGTTCTTCGCTTGTACGGCTGCTGCTAAACCCTCCTTCATGGCATGGTAGCCCTCCAGGCTATGCTCATGCACAATCGCCTGCATCAGATCTGCCAGCAAACCTCCATGTCGCTCTCCTGCTGCAAGCTGCCACCCTGCATGAGAAGCTGTGATGTCCGTGGGGATACTCATTTGTTCGAGGTAGAGCAGAAAGGTCTTCTCGAACTCCCCACCTTGATCCATTGTGATCTTTGCTGGAGGCCCATAGATGGATATCCAGTGTCGGAAAAACTTGTGGGCAACATACTGACTCTGCTTAGTCTTGATCATCACCGCATCGTGCTTGACCGTTCCAAGGTCCAGCATACTCAAGCAGGCATAGCGTTTCCGACGGGCATCATAGACGTACTTGATGTCGATGTGAAGATGCAAATTGAACCCGTAGGGTCGCACCGACGGCGCAGCCGCTTGTGGGTGCTTGGGCGCAGCCCTTTGTGCACATACGGGCCACTGCCAGCGCTTGGCATAGCGGATTGCATCATCCGTAGCCCCGCTCATCTTGAGCATTCTCACCAATGTACTTCTGGACGGATGGCCCAGTTGGCGATGGGAAAATTCCACAGCCTTCTGCACTTCTCGTGGAATTGGATGTCTCTGGTCGTCATCCATTTCCTGCTGCAGGTCTTCTTCATCCTTCTTCAGTGTTTCATCCAGGACCTGCTCCTCTTCTCGAACGGCATCATCGCCATCAATCATGTCACCTTCCGACATGACACCTTCTTCTCCAAGATCCTCGACCAGGACATTTGGCTGGTTCCTCATAAAGTTCTCTGCGCCATCCATGATGGCGTTGCAAAGTGCAATGGGATAACCTCCAGCCCATTCACTGAGAGCTTGCCATCTCCCACTCTCATCCTTGAACTTGCCCTCTATTGGCCAATGCTCATGGCTTCCGTCGCACTTCAGCCTGAGTGGTGCTACCACCTCTTCATTGCCCATGAATCTCGTCCTCTTCCTCAGTGGCACCTTGTTCACTGGATGAACAAGCCCATAGCGGCATTGATCCGCCACAGCTTCGGCACATCCATGAAATGCCTCCTGAATCTCTTCGGTCTCCCAAGCTAAACTTGGATGTGGGTTCTCACCCAGCACAGCTTTGCCTCTCCTCCTCTGCCACAGGACCACTTTCCTCGTGAAACTCAATAGTGTCCTCCTGGCATCTATGCGCTTCCTTCTCAGCGCTCTCCTCTGTTGTGGCGTCTTGACGTTGAGCCGCTGAAGAGGGCTCCAAGGACCGCAAGGCCATGCCACAACTATCACATCAGGGTCGATCTTTTCCAGATAGGCAAAAGCTTGGCGTTGGACTTCTGGAGATCGGATGTCCCAACCAGGCAAAGTCACTGGCTCGAACGTCTCCCATCCGCGGGCATATGCCACTCTGGTCACCATGCAAGACCAGGTGTAGATCTCGATCAACTTCCAGGTGAGGCTCATCCGCAGGCTCCGCCTGAGTGGTGGCTTCCGGCGATCCACCTCATAACTCGCAGCCTCCCCAATGGTCTTGGACGCAGCCAGTAATCTTCTCTTTTGCCCTTTTGTGAGCACTTCTTCGTCGGCGCAGCCGGCTTCAGCGACCAAAATGGCCTCATGCTCCGTAGACTCCTCACTGCTTCCTTCGCTGTCCTCTGATTGGACATCATTGGCATCTTCTTCCGAAATTGAGTTGGCATCGGAAATTGTGCCAGTAGAGGTCCCTTCTTCCGTGTCGCTGGCACCTTGATCAGCTCGGAACGCCTCTGCCGGCAGTCCCAGCTCGTCCCATTTGCGAATGGCCTCTTCGTCCATCCTTTCTTGCCACAAGGCCGCTGCCTCATCAAATTCTTCATTGTCCAGCTCCACAGTCTCTCGGGAATCCTCCTCGCTGGAAGCTTCCAGCTCCATTTCGTTCTCGATCGCTGTAATCTGCTCTTGAATCAGAGCCATACTGTATGGATCCACCTCCAGTCGCTGCTTCAACTCCGCCAAATCTGGCGTTCTCCACTGGTCCATGGTGGCACCCCTGCGGGGCAAGACATTCAGCACGGGGTGTCGAGACGGCGACAACCTCAAAGTCTGCCAGCTGCCTCCATTGATGGATATTCCTTGCTTTGCAAAATCCATTCGCACACCCCATCGTGCCAGTTCCGACGGTCCTGCAAGGGCTGGACAGTCCGCAACCCGCTTGTCCTTCTCGGACTCCACCACTGCCAATCGCAGCCAAGATCTGGTTTCTCCAACCCAAATCGGGTACACCTTTGCTTCCGTTGACAAAACTGGGCTTCCTGCTCCAAAACGGAAGATCTCCTCATGCTCGACGGTGGTCCATTCCAGGCCCAAAGCTCTCAGGTGACGTTGATATCTTTCGTGCCACCGTTGGCCTGCTACTGCCGTCCTGCATCCCGTGTCTAGGATCAGATCCATTGTGGGAAGCTCCTCATCCTCCGCCGTGTTTGCCATCAGGCTTCCATGCATCTTGCTCCAATAGAGCACCTTCTTCAACTTGCAGTTGGTACAGTCAGCCCAATGCGCTGACCCATTTGCTCCCCATTTCAGAAGGGAGTAGTCATGTGTGCATGCTTCTTGTGCTCCACGGGGAATGTCCGAAGCTTCTGACAGCAGGATTCTGCCTCTTGCATTCAAGGCATTGTCGTACAATTGGCGACGAAACTCCTCCAGTCGCTTCTTCCTCACCGGCAAGGGTACATCTTCTGTGTTTGGCCCTGCACTACTGGACGCGGCCAGAGATGGTGTACTGGACGCAGCCAGAGATGGCGTTCTGGGCGCAGCCCGCGACTTCGTTGTTGCTCCTCGGACAGGCTCTGCCTGATGATATCCCTGTCTCCTCTGCACAGGAAACTCCTCTGGGACATGCCGTGCGGCGTCTTCCTCCTCCTCATTAATCAGCTGCTTCAATAGTGTCTTCTTCTCGGCCTTGGTGAGGTTCGGCAGGATAGCCAAGATCTCTTCAGGGCCCACAGCCATCTCAGCATCCTCTTTCTTGGCCTTCTGCTTTCGACGTGCTCGCCTGAGCTTCTTCTTTTCTTCTTCATCCTCAACAGCTTGCTCCAAGGCCGTGAGGACGGCTCGAAGCTTCATCTTGGTCTTCTTGCTTTTTGGCGGCCGTCCAGCAGAAGCCGGTGCTGCTACCAGCGCTGGGGCCAACTCCTCAGAACTGCTCGAGGATCCCGATTCCTCACTCTCGTACTCTTCCAGCAGATCCCAGCCGCCAGTGCCAACCATGAAGGTCCAGTTGACCCTAGACACATTTACTCGGCCATGGTCATCTCCTCGCTTTGGAGATTCTGTTTCCTCCTTGGTCGTAAAGAGGGTTCCAGCCTCTTCCTTGACCGATGAGCTCCCTTTTGAGGATGCTCCTGTCGATCTCGCTGGCACCTCTCCGCTCTGGGTCTTGCTGCAAATGGCGTCACCACGCCAATGGCCATACTTGCCGCACGCTGCGCATTTCGAAGACTTCTTCCGATCCTCAACTTTCCTGAAGTCTGGGGGCCTCTCTTTGCCCTTCTTGTTCTTGCCTTGGCCCTTGTAGCCACGCCCCTTTCTCATCTCGGAGCTCTGCTGTTTGGCCCTCCATCCAGCCGCATAAGCATCCTTGAGCTCATGCACAGTCCACTCTTCTTCTTCTTCCTGCTCTGTTTCATCGTCATCCCACTGCTCTCCGCGGGCATCGGCTGGATAAGCTTCTTGCTCCAGGTCTTCATTGTCGAGGTCTTCATCATCTTCCTCTTCTTCGAAGGACTCTTCCTCCTCCTTTGTCTCTCCTTCGCCAGCTTCGGCCACATGGGCACCGTGGCGCCTTTTACCATATCCTCCATGGCCTCGGCTCTGCCGGTAGGTCTTCTTCGCGGGGCGGTACCTCAGGTCTCCTTGTGCTCCTCGGCTTTGATACTTCTCAGCTTCTTCAACATGCAAGTTTGCATGGCGAAACCGGAGGACCTTCTCAATCCTATCGGATCGGTATTTGCCCCCCGAGGCAAAGAATACCTCCATGCGCTCGCGCTTCGACAACGCTGCTCTCGCCAGCATTCTCTGGGCGAAGCTTTTGTCGCTGATTTTTGTCTCTGTATCTTCTCTCAAGTACTCATCTTTGAGTCTCTTGAGCTTTGAGAGGTAAGCCGCTATGGACACACCGTGTGCCCGACGGTAGGTTTGGAACTCCTCCTGCTTCTGTTCAAACCTTTCATCTGCTCGTTTCTCATATGCGTCATCCAAAAGTCTCATGATCCTTCCTAAACCGCCAGGTTCTTGGAGATCCTCAATCTCCAATTGGTTGACGATGTCCCTTGCTTCTCCTGCGGTGTTGAGGTACACCAGAACTGCTAATTCCTCCTCCGTCAGCTTGTACAAGGCCTGCTGAGCCTTGAGGGTCTTCTTCCAATCCTTGTAGGCTGTGCGATTGCCTCTGAACTGGTCAAGCTTGACCGAAGTGAGGTTTGGCCTTCCTCGATCGGCAGCCTGTCTCTTCATACTCTTCTGCAGGAGTTGTCGGACCTCGTCTGTATTGGCGCTGCCATCAGAGGACGCTGCCGCACTTCCTCGGACGCTGCCGGGAACACTACCACGGACGCTGCCGGGTGCACTGCCGCTAGGCGTCAGCTTTGACTTCGCTGCAGTTCGGGCTTTGGTCTTTGGTGGACTGCCCTGCTCGCGCTTCACGGCACTCTCATCCACCGAGGCCGCCCTTGAGCTGAGCTGCGATGACCTCAGCGTAGGGTCATTGGTGGCTGTCTCCTCCTCAGGGTTATTCTCCTCAGCCTCAGAGTAACTCTCATACGTGTACTCATACTCATAGTCGTCATCTCCTCCGTCATCGGGCGGTTCAGCCTTGGTCTTGGCCAGTGGCTGCGGGAGCTTCTTCTTCGGCCTTGCTTTCGCCGGCCCTTCCTTCGGCTTACCCTTCTGCTCCCCTTTTGACTTGCCCTTCACTTCACCTTTGTTCGCAGGAGGCAATGTCCATGAGCCAGTTGAGGCTACAGATGCCATCATATCCTGCACATTCCACCATCCTGGGTTGGACGTCATAGATCCCGGCATCATCTGGGGATTCATCATTGGCAGTAGATTGGGCACCTGCGTGGGCATCATCATCTGCTGCGCTGCCGGCATCATTGGGAACGCTTGTGGTCCTTGTCCCATCACGGGCATCATTTGCGGCATCGGCAGCATCCCTTGCGGGAGTAGATTCTGTGGCATCGTTGGCATCCCCGGCACTGGGCCTCGAAGTGGGACTTGTTGCTGTTGATGCGCCATCCCTTGTTGTCCAAAGCCCTGAGGTGGTAGTCCAGCTTGTAGGCCTTGAAGTGGAGCTCCAGTAGGTAGTCCGAAGCCAGGTGTCACGAACTGCGGCTGGGTCGGACTCCCAGCTTGATCTCCGGCGCAGCCGGTTGCTCCCATGCCGGCTCTGCCAGCCGCGGCTCCGCCGCCATCAACCGGCTCAGCCGCAGGGTCGTCCCAACTCGGCACAGGGACATGTTGACCCGCCATGGCCCCGTACGTGGGGCTCCGCTACCAATGCGGAGTGACGCAAAGGTAGCAACCAGAAAAGGTTCTAATTGGGCTCAAATCAGGTCGCTGCCCAGGCGCAGCCTTTTTGCTAGATTCGAACTGTGCACAGCTGCGATGTGCAAGGAAAGTGAGACATGCCAAGTGCCAAAAACATGCACCAAACTGCCACACTCACAGATATATCCTTTGCAAATCCGATCGACCTGGTCCAGCCTGGGTACACCGAGGTATAAGGTGCCTCTCTACGCTGCTGTGGCGGAGAGCATGAAACAGCGAGGCACCATTTTGACGAATCAGTCCTTCCGAGCCCAGTTGGTCCGTTTTTGCTTCCAGCAGGGCTTGGACTTATGTGGCCACTCGGAGTACTCCTGGAATATTCGGTTCTATCACCTATTCTTTGGAGGTACTGATCCTATTTATCACCAAAAACTCACCGTCTCCCAGTCCATCCTCCCCAAAAAGTGACATCCTAACGTAATATTGTTATCATCATGAAACGGATGATGAATATTGCTCTAAAAATGACCATAGAAAATAGAACCATCATTGTTACATATTGTTACTGTATACACTGTATATACAGTACAATGTAGAAAAATATACAATAATATACAATGATACATAGAAAAAAACATATATATATAATATAATATATATATATACATATATCTAATGGTTAGGTTCAGATCAGCAAGGTGAGGAGGTCCCCGCGGCCCTGTGGCAACCACCGGCGGATCCGGTGGCTCTGGGGGATGCGCAGAGCTGCAATGATCCAACGAAGCGGCACAAGAAGGAGCCGCCCAAGGACAGCAACGTGCCTTCGGCGGTGTTGCCTTCAGGGCTTGGTTTGTTTTGAAGAAAAATGGTAGGGTTGGTTGTTGCTTGTTGGTTGTTGGTTGTTGCTTGTTGCTTGTTGGTTGGTGTTGTTGTCGTCCACATTTGCAGTTTCTTTTTGAATTGGGACCCCAACAGGTCGCCCTGTTGGCTTGAAAGTTTGGATGCTGGATAGTTGGATGCACAGCAATCTATGACAGTTAATAATAACAGGGTGCATTGCAGTTTGAAACAGCAATGCGTGGGACTTTGGATCTCGGAATTTTCAAATCCACATGCCTGCTTCCTCCATGGCTGTTTGCAAGACTTCAGAGTGTAAACCATTTGGCCTCATGGGTTGCTTTGCCTGTGTAGTTTCTCACTCGCGCGATATAGTTGTTGGTCTGGCGTTGCTGACTCGATTATGTAGTTGTTAACTTGGCCAATCTTTGTGTTATTGGCCCAGCTTTCACTGATGTTGTTTGACAGCAAACGCAACTGTGCAGAAGAATAACCAACCAAAACTTTTGTTACCTACCATGACGTGCCCCCCACCTAATTAGACTTCTGGATAATCTTCTAATGTATTATTACAACATTATATGCATACTTATATCATACATATATCATACATATATCATACATATATCATACATATATCATACATATATCATACATATATCATACATATATCATACATATATAAATATATACATCAATACATGCATACATTTGCATATACACATATACAATTCATAATAATATGATACGAATATATATATATATTTATCTATCTATCTATCTACCTATCTATCTATCTATCTATCTATCTATCTATCTATCTATCTATCTATCTATCTATCTATCTATCTATCTATCTATCTATCTATCTAATCTATCTATCTATCTATCGATCTATCTATCGATCTATCGATCTATCTATCTATCTATCCATCCATCCATCCATCCATCCATCTATCCATCTATCCATCTATCCATCTATACATCCTATCTATCCTAATCTATCTATCTATCTATATCTATCTATCTATCTATCTATCTATCTATCTATCTATCTATCTATCTATCTATCTATCTATCTATCTATCTATCTATCTATCTAATCTATCTATCTATCTATCGATCTATCTATCGATCTATCGATCTATCTATCTATCTATCCATCCATCCATCCATCCATCCATCTATCCATCTATCCATCTATCCATCTATACATCCTATCTATCCTAATCTATCTATCTATCTATCTACCTATCTATCTATCTATCTATCTATCTATCTATCTATCTATGTACATATATATATATATATAATACATATATATATATATACAATACATTTATATATCATGTTGCAACCTCCATCACCTGCCAGTTGCCCCCAGCCGCAGCATCACCGAGGACCACGGCCTGCGCTTTGCGGCGCGTGATGGTTGCTTGAAATGTGTGATGGACTATGTCGAGCAGGGCGTAGCTCCTTGGCTGCGGACAGGTTGGTGTAGCATGGGGATTTGTGTTGGCCGGCTGACATGGTGATTTACTATTCTTGCCACGTGTTGATTTTTTGGGGTTTTCCAAAACGATTCCAACAGAATTACGGGCTATTTTGGAAGGGGATACCGGAGGTTTTTATGGATGACCTGCTACATGATCGCTTGGAAGTTGACCTGCTGTGGCCTTGAAGTTGACGTACACCCAGAAAGGTTCTCCATTGATCAAAAACACAACACTGGGATCATCCCACTTGATATTGGTGAGTAGCCATAGTAATGACTTAGTAATCATAGTCATAAACCAGGTGTATAGCAGTTCTTTTTATGGGACACGCCTACCGTTCCAGCCGAGGACCCAGAGAAGAAGGGCAAGAATTATTCGGCGCTGGGATGGGCCGAATGGATCCTTGCTGAAAAGCGTGATGAAACCATGGAAAAACCCGAAAAATCCTCAGCAAATGTTCCTGGAGGTCTGGAAGAGGATTCTTTTGGACATATTTGGGAGTTTTCTGGATAATTTTAGAGGTTTCATGAAAGGTTTCGAGGGGTGTGATGGTAGGGTTATCTAGCATTTTGGACCGGAAGCATAAGAGGAGAGCGGGATGACTTGCGTAGCCTTCGAGATACGCTGTTCCTGGGTAATGGATGAGAAAACCACTGGCTTTGGTTCGAAATTCTTGACATTCCGTCCACAATTTCATGGTTCTGTACTGAAGACCAGCCAAACTTGGGGCTCCTCTAATACCCCGTTTGCCCAAGGAAAAGGCTTGGAACGTATCATGCCAAGGCCAAAAGTTCCATGCCCTGCAGGGATTGATTGGAGGTTCATCGATTCCGGAAATTCCCTGACTTTCAGAGTCGAGTTTGACTGGGGGATCCACTAACAAACCATCCCAATAGTGGTCGAAATTGTGTAGACCCTGATTCTTGGGATGATTTGAGCATATTTCCCCAATATCACCACCGAAAGATTGATCATTGGGGATGGTTTATGGCAACGACCGGTGAGGTTGTGTGGGTCTGATCCGAGGAAGCTGGGAAGGGCCCTGGATGACCAAGAGAAGCGACAATACCGTGCGATTCTGGTGTGTTTGCAGCGAGCCAGAGGGCAAGCAGATGCCGTGTGAAAGTGGCTGCAAAAAATGGGAATGGCTTGGCTCAAAAGTGGGTATGCACCAATTTGATCCAATTTGTGGATATTTTAATGGGAAGATGATGATAAACTATTGGATTCTGTGACATGAGGCAAAGTCCTTGTGTTTGATCGTTGGCAAAGTTACCAACAAGAGTGTAGTTGAAAAATCCCTGACATTTCTAGCCTTCTCCGCTTTTGAATCAGCATTCTGGCACCCACCAATTCCACGCATTTTTGCGGGTTCAGTGATGTGGCCTGTAGGGTGTCTTTGCGGCTGTTTGACAGAATTGGAAGGCTGGTAAAAGTCAGACATCGAGAGTTGAAGCAGTGTACGGGTATCACGTCTTTCCAATTTGAGCTGATCGTTCAGAAGGAACTATGGATCAAGCTCTTTGTAGCAAAATTGAAAGGCCAATACAGTTCAATTTTGAGGTCTTTCAAGGGTCCAACCAGTCTGGTGCCAAAAAGTGCAGAAGATTCTTGATGATTTTTGGTGTTGGCAACTACAGGGTGTTCCATAAATTCATCCCCCCACAGACGGTTAAACAGAGCCAGGTGCGTCGACACTACACCAGGGATGTCTACGTCCACAAGGCACCGGTGGATGCAGGGCCTATGCCAAACTTAGGGCGTTCCCCATATGGAGATTCATCCAGATGGCTCGACACAGGATACCGGGATGTTAGGTGACCTTCGAAGTAGGATTCTTTTCCACTTGCTCAGGTGGCTTGCTCATCTATACATACCAACCAACCCAACGGGTTTGTCAGAAAGTAGGGTTTATCATCCTGCGATGGCTCGTGCAGGCACAAATTGGGGACCTCGAGGTTGGTGGGGGCCTCAGATGAGGAAAGTATGGTGGCGTGTGAGGTTTGGTGTCATGTAATCTCTACACGCATCGATGTCCAGAAAAGGGAATTGCATAAATTGGATCTATTGAACATGATTTTTTTATTATCCCATTGGTAAATCAAATCCACCATTTCTGGAATCCACTGGTTTTACGTTTTGTGGTCCGAAGCAAATCCACTTTTTATCGTGGTTTGATCCTGTCGCTAAGGTGAGGAACTCAATTTTCTGGTGGATACCAACAAGGAGCCGCGGAGTTCGGGCGCTGAAAAACAATTCCCCAAGTCACTACCAACATGGGATGTGGATTAGGAGGTGCTTTTCAAAATTGTGAGGTACATGGGAACCCCCAAAACTTCTGGTCATTTTTGGATGTGGGTCCCCCAAAACGGGGAGATATCCCAAAATGTCAAGTTTGATGGGCAATAAACCTATAATTTTCTATATATTCCAGGTATGGCACCAACCTTGACCTTGACCAACATGGGGCAATAGCCATTCGTGACGCCCTTGTCTATGGGGATATGCCAAGACAACATATCATTTCAAGGAACTGCTGCCGTACCGGGCACCTAGAGCATAGTTCTGGTGTGTTTAGCATGGCAATGGGCCAACTCAAACAGCAAACATTTGGACAAGTAATATTGTTTAAACTATGGTGGTTTGTCAATGTTTGGTTATCATAGGGCAAAACTTACAGCAAAAGTTCGGGAACAGCTGGGTATCCTCAAAATGGTGCGACCCCAACCCATTTTTGTACAACCAACCATAGAAAGATGGGCCTACTATCCACAGCCCTGGAAAAGCCTCAGTTAAGCCTGATGGAACTTGCTAAGTAGTTATAACAGGCTAAGTGAGTACAACATAGTATAACTATGTATAACTGGGATAACTGGTGAAAACATCCTCAGTTATCACCCAATTCCATTGGGATATTTCTACATGTTACTATGGCTACGTCGCCGTCGCCGTCGCCGGGGCCTTCGCCAGGACGGGTACCCTCAGGCCCGTGACATCCGTCGCAGAGACGGCTCGAGGTAAGGCGACTCAGTGGGGATGATGATGATTATATACATATCTATTATAGTATAATATAGTATATATATATGTTATTATATATATATGTATGTATGTATACTGTATACTATGATTCTGGGTAAATTATAACGAGCTCACTGCGACCTCACTGGGAATCATGGTTAGTAAGGGGAATCATCCCCAAATGGCCTTAATTCAGGTTAGTGAAATATTATAATTTACCCAGATACTGTATACTATGATTATTATTACATATAATATACTGGTGGATGCACCAGTTGGTTTGACAATTCTGAAGCATTGTAGATGATGGGATTACAATGTGAGAGAGCATCTACCAAATGGTGCAGGATTTCTTCCATGCACAGGCTTTCTACAGTCTCTGATAGTCGCATCTCCTGGCCAACCTGAGGCCCGGTCAGAAGAGAGGAGGCGGGGGAGACGGCTCGGTGCCTCAGAATTCACAAGGACTTAAGCAAAATGGAGGTGTATAGCTGGGAAAGTCATCCATTCCTATGTTTTTTTTTCCAGAAAGCCAGGTTTGACTCCTGGCTATCTCCTGGGTATCTCCTAGTTTTTATCCCATGAAGCCTCCATTTATCCCATTCATCTCCCATTAAATCACTACTGGGTCCTCTGCAATAGCAACTCCTCTACAGCGGCCTGGTCTGAGGTGATGATGCCAACGGTTGGAAAACCTAGTGAAGCTGAAGTGGTGGTGCATGGATATGTATACTGTGTGTATATATAAGACATATACACATCATATAGAAAAGAGAAAATAGAATATGGAATATAGATATAGATATAGATGTACAAATCGATATATAGATATAGATATAGATGTAGACATGTATATATATATAAATATAGATGTAGACATAGATATATGCATATAGATGTAGATGTAGATATAGATTTAGAATATAGACATAATGTAGATGTAGACATAGATACAGATATATGTATATATATATACATTGATTGAAGATTTAATTCGTCAAAATGGATTTTTTACATGACTCACCCATCAGACATTGGGATATCTGATATTACCAGTGAATAACAAGAATATATGGGTTTGTCTCAAAATAGGGGTTTTGACACCCGATTTATTGCACTCTTAAAGGATGATGACAAAGCGTCACTCTTGGTTGGTGAAACTCATGTAGCGACCACTCGATTGATGACATCCCCAGACTTGTTTGGTGTATCCAGCGAGCTTTTTCAGCTTCTCTCCCATATTTGCTGGTCACCTTCCCATTACTTTTCTCTGCTTAGAAAATAAGTACTTCTTTATCACTTAAGCAAGTTCCCCCAGCCCCAGCCCTTGCGGTCCAAGCCCGCGTTGGTGATGTCCCAAGGCGATAACATGTCGAAGCGGCCCCGGAGGAGAGGAGGGAAGGCGCTAACGCGCCTAAACTTCAACAAGATCTTGGAATTTATAGGGGTTTTAACCAACAAACATGGAGGATGAACCAGTCACATTCTTAAAATGGGAGGGGTTGACCATCAACATACTATAGAATGATGTAACAAGCATGTGGGGTTTAGATAGGGGTTTTAGCCAGCCATAAATGGGGATACATAGGATATGTAACCAATCCGATATTTGGGTGTGTCTGAACAAGGTATAAATCCTTAACATGGCAATTTTAACATGCAGGAAAAGACAAGCCAGTCAGTGGATTTGGGGGTAGCCTATTTTCAGACAAAATGATGCAGTCCAAAGAGAACAAGATGCATATTCCCCGCTGTTCTGATTGTGAGATACTTTTCATGAAGTCAAGAGGACCCTCCTTGTTGAACATTTTCATAGAATTGGATGATGGGAAAATTTACACCGGAAAGCCCAAACAATTTGATGGTAAAAAGCCATGGGTTTCCGGTTAAGATTTTCCCTTAAACCAATGGTTGGATTCTCCAGAAGTTGGTGGCCTCCCAGATTCCCGCTTGCCAGGGCAAGCGGAAGCCCAACGAAGGCGGACCCAGTGGCACGGCTTTCTGTTTCTTTTGTAAAAATCATGAGCTATATAAAATATAGAAGGAATACGGAGGAATACAGTAATTGGACCTAATATTTTACATAATGTTACCAATATCATTCTAATTATTTAATATAAGGATATATTTGTGTCATCAAATGAACTTGTAATCTAAGGCAGGTGATAAGCGTGAGGGGGTGTTCAACGACGAGCTTCAGCGACCGCGAACATAGGAATGGAGAGGTCATTTTAGCAGAACTCGCCTGACAGTAGCCGATGCAAAAGATCTTCTTGATTCCCCAAAGGCTAGATGCGTCCCCTTCCACATCCTTCCACCCTTTCAGTGTGTTAGGAGGTTGTGAAGCAGCGTCATTTGTGGGTTTGCATAGCTCAATATTTCTGTCCCCCAAGGTGCAGGATGCGGATTATATCTTGACTAGTGATTTTGGATTTCAGCTGCACCAACTTGAAAGAACCTAGTGTCTGAGTGTACCCAGTTTTCGTGGGATCACTATAAGGTGGGGGACTACTGGAACCAACCTGGATTATCAATTGGTTGCTTTCTAGGTCTGAAGGTCATTCAGAAAGGCTTCGCAAAATCAGACAGATCATGAAACATCATGAAAAGCCGCGAAAAGTCATCAAACATCGGATGAAACTGTCGTGACGCACTCCAGCTGATGACAGGAGATGGAAAGGCAGGCGACGGCAAGGCCTGGAAAACTGTAAGAATCCTCCTGCTGAGGACGGAAACAGCACTCGCCTCACCTAGAGTTGAAATACCCACAAAAAATAACTCACAGTCCACCTCAATCAAATCCTGACCTCACTGCCAGGGTGGAGCCGCACCCGCAGATGAAAAGAAAGCGGCGGAGTCGACCGAAGCGCAGCCGGAGGGAGATGGGAAGGAGGAGGAGGAAGCGCCTCAGACAGCTGAGGCAGAAAAGGCTGAGGGAAATGAAGCAGAAAAGGCAGAACCAGCAGAAGCAGAAGCTGAGGTGGCAAATCCTGCAGAGACCTCAGAAGCTCCCAAGCTCGACGGTCCCAGTGTCGATGCTGTTGCTTCCGAACCAGCAGCTGATGCTGACAAGGAAGCGCCGGCTGCACCAGCGCCAGCTGAACCAGCGCCAGCTCCAGAGGTAGCTCCTGAACCAGCAGCGTCAGAGCTGCCGGCTGCTGAAGCACCTGCTGTGCCAGCCGCAGAGCCAGCCCCGGCTGCGCCGGAAGTGGCGACCGCTGCAGAGGCCCCGGCAGTGGCAGAGGCCCCGGCCGAGGCCCCACCTGCGCAGGCTCCAGCGGAAGAACCGCCTGCGCCCGCTGAGACGACTCCGGCGGAATCGGCGGAGATGCCGAAAGAAGCTTAGGCGAGAGATGGCCGGGGGTCAAGGGATTGGCCGGGGGATTTGCTGTCAGTCATGCAATGCCACTTGTGATTTGCGCAAGATGGTTTAGAAAAAGCAATTTGCACATCCAGACTGCGCGCTGGGGCATCTGCAGCTGCGTGCCAGGTCAAATCTGGGACAAGAAGTCTCTGAGTTAAGTTTGAGCGCCTGAAGGGTGTAGCTTCCCCATTCACTTGAGACCAACCCAGATG